AAGAAGTTAACAAGCAACATCCAGACAGAAGATATAACAGAAGACCCTATAGGAGCAATTGAAAGACAAATACCTTCTAATTAACTTAATAAGAAACATATCAAACCTATTTAAAGAGAAATTGAAAACTTTTCACAAAGATACACTTGAACAAATCAGCATATATGCCATATTCCTGTGTAGAGATATTAACATCATAAAACAGAGATTTTCCATAAACTAATTTTTAAATTAAAAAAAAAGATTTTATTTGTGAGAGACTCATAGAGAAGCAGAGCCACAGGCAGAGGGAGAAGCAGGCTCCCTGGAGGGAGCCCGATGTAGGACTCGATCCTAGGACCCTGGGGTCACACCCTGAGCTGCAGGCAGACACTCATGCACTGAGCCACCCAGGGGTCCCTAATTTTTAAATTTAATACGCTCACAGTGAGGGACCCCTGGCTGGCTCTGTTGGAAGAGCATGCAACTCTTCATCTTAGGGGTCGTGAGTTCGAGCCTCATATTGGATGTAGAGGTTACTTAAAAATAAAATCTTTTTAAAAAATACAATAACAATGAAAATTCTAGTGTTTTAGTATAAAAACCTGGATGAATTGATTGTAAAGGCTATATTTTAAAAAGTAAATGCATAAGGATACCCAGAAAAATCCTGGAAAGAAATGCAATGACGCAGGGGGCAACAAGTAGCTCTATTACTTACTTTGAAATATTCTCATCAGTCATGCAAACAGTCTGTATTACTGGTTCATATTAGTCTGACCAATGGAAGAGAAGAGAAAGCCCAGAAATCGATGCAAATAGATTCAGGAATGTCTATGCATTACTCGGTGCATCACGTAATAGGACGGGCGGGAGAGGCTAGAGGAAAACAATGCTGGATCCCTAATAATGTGGACAAATTCCAAATGGGCCAAAGATCTAAACATTAAAAGTGAAACTGTAAGTCCTTGAAGGAACCACTGGGAGGATTTGCTTATAACTTTGGTCTGGCAAAGGCTTGTGAAAAAATTACTTTAAATCCAAAAAGTACCTAAAGATTTTAAAAAGACGCACTTAAAAATATGCTGGTCAAAAACACACCCACATTCTGAGCAACCAATAAACACAGACACTGAGAAACTACTTTTGCGAATCATATCACACAAATGTGTAATTCTCTTACCATTTAAAAAGCTCTGAAAAAAAAAGAAAAAAAAATAAAAAGCTCTGAAAAATTGTAAGAAAAATACCAATAACTCAACACAGCAGTGATATACACCCTGACACGTCTCACAATATGATATATAAATGGCTTATAAACATGAAAATACATTCATCCTTGCTTGTAAGAGAGCCATAAATTTAAACTACACTGAGATGTTTTTTCTGCCTTTTTTTTTTTTTCAAATATCAGATGGGAAGATTTTACAACTGCAGTGGCAGTGGCTGCCTACCCAAAGGGGTAAACTGAGAGGGCACAGGGGTAGGGGGGAGAATTTTAACAGTACTTAAAAAAATCTTTTATTATTTGAGACAGGGGGGTAGCAGAGTGAGGGGTAGAAGGAGAGGCAGAGAGAGAATCTCAACCAGAATCTCCTCACTGTGCTGAGTGAGGAGCCCATTGTGGGGCTTGATCTCATGACTCTGACATCATGACCTGAGTCAAAATCAAGAGTCAGTGGCCCAGGATCCCTGGGTGGCGCAGCGGTTTGGCGCCTGCCTTTGGCCCAGGGCGTGATCCTGGAGACCCGGGATTGAATCCCACGTCAGGCTCCCGGTGCATGGAGCCTGCTTCTCCCTCTGCCTGTGTCTCGGCCTCTCTCTCTGTGACTATCATAAATAAATAAAGAAAAAATATTAAAAAAAAAAAAGAGTCAGTGGCCCAAATGACCAAGGCATCTGGTCACTCCACAGTATTCTTTTTTTATTTATTTTATTTTTGATCCTATAAACGCATTACCTTTTTAGAAAACAAATATACAATAAAATATTTTTGAGAAGGGAAGCAAAGTGTTGAGTAGTATATAAAATGATATACTTTCCAGTATACGTTTTTTGCAAAAGCTATTAACAGTGGGTATCATCATAGGCTTGATTTTGTTACACTTTTTTGTCTGCTTTTATTTGTATAGGAAATGTGCATTGTCTCTGTAGTCAGAACAACCAAACATGGTGATTTATTTAGTCATTTTTCCCTCCATTTTTTTAAGGTTTTGCTTATTTAAGTAATCTCTACACCCATTGTGGGGCTTGAACCCAGACACGAAATCCAGAGTCACATGCTCCTCCAACTGAGCCAGCAAGGCACCCCCAAAAATGATTTAAGTTCATTTTCAGGGATGCCTGGGTTGCTCAGTTGGGTAAGTGTCTACCTTTGGCTCAGGTCATGAGATCAAGTCCCACATCAGGCTCCCTGCTCATCGGGGAGCCTACTTCACTCTGTCTACTTGCTTGTGCTCTTTGTCAAATAAACAAATGTTTTAAAAATCTGAAGTTCATTTTCTGATTTCATAGGGAAACATATTTCTATGTTTCCTCCTCACTGTTCTTTAACTGTGACAAACAGCAGGGCAATCCTGGCTTTTGCCTTCCATCTTAGTCAGTGCTCTTTCCTAACTAAACCTGAGTTATTTTATTTTTTTTTTAAACATCAGACTCCCTCAGGATTTGCCTGCTACTCTCAGATTCAGACCAGAGTGGATAAAAAGGATCAAAAGTCCTTTTGCCTCATTTCAATGTTAAGGAATCATGGTTTTCCTTGTTAATGCTATAGCGATTCCACAAACAGCAACTTCTAATCTCTTCCGTCAAATCCAAATGTCATGAATTTATGGGAGGGTGGGGGCAGTGGTGGAAAAAAATCCCAGGAGAAAGACCTCTTCCCTTCCCTAAATGGGGAGAGAAACCAAGACTTTCCAGAGAGGGAGCTCCACCTGTGGCTGAGGTCATTTATAGGAGTTGGATTTAAATTTAATTCTGCCCTCAGGTAACTCCAAGGAACTGCTGCTTTCAGAGCTGGCCCCACCTTTACCCACCCTGCATGTAAGAGGGCTGTGCGGCTTTGGTGCAATTACAGATTGAATACAAATTTTGCAGGCAACAGCCTAGACACGTAAACAAGCTCTGCTGTGGGTCACTGGGAGAGGGGGGTCGGTGTGGTGGCTGGAATCTAGCTGTGTCACCTTGACATGAGGACCCGGACAGATTCACAATATCCTGCCCCTTGAATGTAAAATGGTGTGGCCGCTCGACAAACAGTATGGCCTTTCCTCAAAATGTTGCAGGTAGAATTACCATATGATAAAATCTTTTTTAAAAAACATTTAAATTATTTATCCATGAGAGAGACATAGAGGCAGAGCCACAGGCAGAGGGAGAAGCAGGCTCCCAGGACCCCGGGTCACGACTTGAACCGAAGGCAGGCACTCAACCGTTGAGCATTCTGGTCTTCCCCAAAATAAATAAAATCTTTTTAAAAAAAAGGTTTGTTCTTCATTCCCAAGTACATTACCTGTCGCTTCACAGACCCCAGAAGAAAATCATGAAATTAAGGACTAAGTCAAGTTAATCTTTAGACCTCGGTCTCATCATTATGAAATAAAAGAGTAGAGTGGAGAATCTGTGATTCTAAGTCAAGATGCTATGTCAGAAGAGGAGAGCTTAAGGAGAAATAACCCTATGGAAATTAAGGTGAAAAAGAAAGAAAAAGAAAAAAAAAGAAAGATACCCAGGACTAGAGAAATGAACACTGTCACCTGCTAGGCTTTGAGAATCTACTGCAGGTCAGACATCAAAATTTCTTAATTTTGCATAATTTAAAATTATGCAAAATCCCTCTATAGAATGATCAAGTGTTCGCCTCCATGAAATCTTTTATGCACTGTGATCCCTAGAGCCTAAAACTGCCTATCACAGTAGAAATTCATGAGTTGCTGGTTTGTTTTTTTTTTTAAGATTTTATTTATTTATTCATGAGAGACACAGAGAGAGGCAGAGACACAGGCAGAGGGAGAAGCAGGCTCCCTGCGGGAAGCCTGATGCCGGACTCCATCCCAGGACCTGGGGATGACACCCTGAGCTGAAGGCAGACGCTCAACCACTAAGCCACCCAGGTGCCCCCAGAAATTTTAATTTAAAAATTTATTTATTTGCGTGAGAGAGAGAGAGAGAGAGCACAGGAGGAGGGGCAGAGGGAGAGGGAGAGAGAGAATCTCAAGCAGACTCCTGGCTGAGCACGGAGCCTGACATGGGGGTCAATCTCATGACCCTGAGATCATAATCTGAGCCAAAACCAAGGATCAGATCTCTTAACCATCTGAGCCACCCAGGTGCCCCCCAGACATTTTATTTTTAATGTTTTCTAATGTATCAGTCTTTTCCTTTATGGTTTATACTTTATGTGTCTTTATGTGTCTTGTTGGACACATACATCCTACCCTGATTTGATATAGATATCCTTTTTTAACCTAAAAGCTTTTTTTATTGACATTGTATTTTGAAATAATTTTAAGCTTACAAAATGTTGCAAAATTAAAAATGGTACAAAGAGCACTCATACACCCTTTACCTAGTTGACCTAGTGTTAACATTTTATGCATTTATCATTTGATACATATAATATATGCAAGACAGCATATGTAACACATACACATATCATATTTCTCCTTGACTATTTGAAGGTATGTGACATACATCACGGTACTTTACAGCTAGATGCTCTGGTGTGTATTTCCTAGGAGTAGGGATAGTCTGTTACATTACTACAGACCAGTTATCAACTTCATAAATTTACACGGATAAAATAGTTTTTATCAAACCTCCCATTCATATCTCAATTTTGCCAGTCAACAACTTTGATATGGACATTCTCCATAGCCTTTCCATAACCCTATAAATCATATAATCATATAGTAGTTTTAGATGATTATTTTTATAAGTTTATTTAATTTTTTAAAAATATTTTATTTATTTATTCATGAGGGGACACACACAAAGAGACAGAGACACAGGCAGAGGGAGAAGCAGGTTCCCTGCAGGGAGCCTGATGTGGGACTGATCCCAGGAACCCGGGGTCACGACTTGAGCTGAAGGCAGACGCTCAACCACTGAGCCACCCAGGTGTCCCTAATTTGTTTTAGTAATCTCTACACCTACCATGGGGCTCGAACTCAACCCCGAGCTCTAGGGTCACATGCTCTTCCAACTGAGCCAGCCCAGATGCCTCATAAGCTTATAGCAGTTTTAAATGCAGGATCCAAACCGGGGGTAGGTATCACATTGAACTGTCATGTCTTTTTTGCTTCCTTTAATCTAGAATACTTCCTCAACCTTTATTTGTCTTATTTAATACTGACATTTTTTAAGAATACAGTCCCCTCTCCCCCATTTTAGTAGAATGTTCCTCAATTTGTGTTTATTCAGTTTGCTCATGATTTAGGTTGGTGAAAGCAGTCTCGGGTGGAGCTCTGCACAGCTGCGTGGTGTGCGGTACTGCATCTATGCAGTGTCATGGAGATGCAGTATTGTTTTTCTCGGGGCATCATGTCTGGAGGCACACGATGTCTATCTGCCACCCATTGGTTAACTTCGATCCCTGGTTCTAATTCTTGTCCAATCTCTCCCCTGTATGATAATGCTTTCTATATTTTGTGCTTCCTTCCAACTGGTAAGTCGTCTAGGGAGATGCTTTAAGACATCCAAGCCTCCCCCTTCTTGGGACAATTTCCCCGTAGTGTTATCAGCACCCACTGATGATTCTTGCCTGATCCAATCTTTGCCATGATGGTTGAAAATGAATCACCTAAATGTTTTTAAGTTTTGTTTATTATGTGTGCCTTTAAATTAATTTGATTTTATATAGTGTGAGGAATCTTATCCTATCCCTTCACCCCTCTCATATGTCTAACGACTTGGCTTCATTTGTGGAATGAATTTTCTCATTCTTTTCTCACTGGCAAGAAATGTCCACTTTCTCATGTGTCGAATTTTCATTTTTGCTGGGTTTGTTCCAGGGTTCTCTATTCTGTTACTCCGTTCTATTGTTCTATTTGTTTATTTCCACACCAATACTATAGTGTCTTAAGTCCTATCACTTCGTAATAAATTCTGATGTATGGTAGAGCAAGTGACCCATCACCTACTTCTTTAAATTTGTCTCAGCCATCTTTGTCATCCAGGCACTCTATTCACTATCACAAGTAATTTTCACAACAACCTTTGGAGAGGTGAAGCAACTTTCCCAAGGTCACAAAGCCAGGAAGGAGGAATCTGACCCCTGGTCTGCCCAAGGCCAGAGCTCTTTGTGTTATTTCCCGGGGTTCTGACTTCCCAAGGCCCAAGGGCCAGTTTTCCAGGCATGGAGAAGTGGGAAATCAGAGAATCAAGTGTGGGCCGATGAGAGAAGAGAGATATCAGACTGGTTTGAGCTGGGTCTCTGGGGTATGGACTTTGCCAGCCAAGGGATGGGGCTTCTGGAGGGAATGAACCTGAGAGACACCCCCTTCCCCCCAAAAAAAAAACTGATCACCCACAGGTGATGGGCTCATCTTCCGGCTTTCCAGGCTGAGCAGGGTAAGGTGGCAGCAGTTTGAGAAGGGACACCTGCAGCTGCTTTCATGTTGGGTGTCTGGTGCCAGGGCTGAGATGCATGGAGGAGATGGGATCTGCCGGCTGCCTGCCTCCCTGCCTGGAGGCCAGGATAGATCCCACTCCAGGGAGCCCCATCCTCCCCCAACTCCTCCCTGACTGATTAAGGAACCCTAATCAGCTTGGGAAGATTAAGGGCTCTGGACAGCTGTTCCCACACCCCCACCCTGGGCTGCGCTGGCAAAGAGACCTGTAGGAGGACGTCAGAAGGGGGATCAGCCCTGTGACCCCTCACCCCGGGCTTGGGCCCGCGCCCCGGACTTTCCGGTGAGTGGCAAAGGCCCCTTGGCCAGAACCCGGGTCCTTTCTGCCCCAAGTGGGTGTATGGAGGGAGTGGGCATGTCTCCCCTGACCCCTATTGGCTCTGAGGAGAGAGGAGGGGCAGGCGAGAAGGGAACAGGAAGCAAGGGAAACAGGGGTTTGCGGTGAGGGGTGCGGTGGGCTTCCAGGCCATGCCCTTAACCCCCGGAGGGTCGTCCAAGCCAGAGTTGGGGCTATGGCAGTGGCCTCCAGGGTTAGTCAGGCTTTGAGAAGCTGGGGGTTGCGGAGAGGGCCCTGAGAGAGTTCGGGGGGCCTCGCCGCTCATCGCACCCCGCTTCTGCTCCCAGAAGCCGGCGATGAGCGCGTGCGCCCTCCTGGCGGGTGGGCTCCCCGACCCCCGGCTCTGCGCCCCCGCGCGGTGGGCTCGGTCCCCGCCCGGCGTCCCAGGGGCCCCGCCCTGGCCCCAGCCCCGGCTCCGGCTCCTGCTGCTGCTGCTCCTCCTGCCGCCCTCCGCCCTCTCCGCCGTCTTCACAGTCGGGGTGCTGGGCCCCTGGGCCTGCGACCCCATCTTCGCCCGCGCCCGCCCGGACTTGGCCTCCCGCCTGGCCGCCGCCCGCCTGAACCGCGACGCAGCCCTGGAAGGCGGGCCCCGCTTCGAGGTGACGCTGCTGCCCGAGCCATGCCGGACGCCGGGCTCCCTGGGGGCCGTGTCCTCCGCGCTGGGCCGCGTCTCGGGCCTCGTGGGGCCGGTGAACCCCGCAGCCTGCCGGCCGGCCGAGCTACTGGCCCAAGAGGCGGGGGTGGCGCTGGTGCCCTGGAGCTGCCCGGGGACGCCGGCGGGGGGCACCACAGCCCCCGCGGGGACGCCGGCGGCCGATGCTCTGTACGCCCTGCTCCGCGCCTTCCGCTGGGCACGCGTGGCCCTAATCACCGCGCCCCAGGACCTGTGGGTGGAGGCGGGACGCGCGCTGTCGGCCGCGCTCAGGGCCCGGGGTCTGCCCGTGGCGCTGGTGACCACCATGGAGCCCTCGGACCTGTCTGGGGCCCGGGAGGCCCTGAGGAGGGTCCAGGACGGGCCCAGAGTCAGAGGTAGGCTCCCCTGCAGGGCGCGGGGTGGGGGGCGCCGCAGGCAGGCATAGGGGCGCGGCGGTGAGCCCGAGTGTCCGACGGTCCGCAGCGGTGATCATGGTGATGCACTCGGTGCTGCTGGGCGGCGAGGAGCAGCGCTGTCTGCTGCAGGCTGCGGAAGAGCTGGGCCTGGCCGATGGCTCCCTGGTCTTCCTGCCCTTCGACACGCTCCACTACGCCTTGTCCCCGGGCCCAGAGGCCTTGGCCGCGCTCGCCAACAGCTCACAGCTGCGGAGGGCCCACGATGCGGTGCTCATCCTGACGCGTCACTGTCCCCCGGGGGGCAGCGTGATGGACAGCCTGCGCAGGGCCCAGGAGCACCAGGAGCTGCCCTCGGACCTAGATCTGCAGCAGGTAGAGGGACCAGGGAGGAGGGCAAGAGGGGAGAACATGCCGGAGAGGGGGGAGGAGGATGGAGCCAATGGGAGCCGGGAGCCCTGCACCAGTAGAGAGAGACCAACTAGCAGCCCCTCCTGTTCTGTCATTTTCTGGGTAAAGTAGAGGCTCTGACCTTGCTCGGGCCATGTTAGTGTGTTGGGATTGCTTCTAGAGTGTAGACGATGAGACCTCTCCAGCCCAGCTCCAGTCACTAGACCCTATGAACTCAACACTGCAGTCGGCTTCAGAGTAAACCCTCTTCCAGCACCGCGGCCACACATGATCTGTAATACAGAACAGGAAGGAGCAAGGATGCAGATCCAATCTCCACACCCCATTTAGAGGGGTTTCCTCTGGGGCTTCATCTAGTGGTCATAGCTTTTTGGCAGCCTTGCCATCTCGTGAGGAGCAGAAAGGTCCCTAGGTGGAACCAGGAATTTCCATAATCATTTAGATCCACAGCTTATACCCAAACAACCAGCTGAGATCCCCTGAGAATCCAGAATCCCCGTTCAGACCGTCTGACTCCATACCATTCCTAGAAAGGGGAAAGGGCTGGAAAGCACTAAGAGGGAAGGGAGTTTGGATGTCAGTGGGCAATAAACTAACCACCCCAAAGGTGCTGTGAATCGAGGCAGGTTGAAATATTCCCCACCAACACCCCTAGTCTCCTCCTGGAAGATTTGGGGGAGCCAGTAGGAGAAGGATGGGACTAGTCAATAAGAAGGGGAGAACAAGAGTCAGGAACGTGGTGAGATGGGATGGGGGTGGGTGGAGAAAGTGGTGAAAAGCGTCTTCAGTTCTCAGCTACTGGCTCCTTCTGAGATCCCTAGGAAGTCATCCTTGATTCTTCTCACCTTCCCCCCAACCCCTACATCCAGACGTCAAGTCCTGACAGTTTTACTTTGTAAAAGTCATTTGAATCCGTCCACTTTCTCCATTCCCCCAACACTGTCCTGGTTCAGGACACAGCACCTCTGATCTAAATCTTGAAGCAGCATCTCCCCAATAGTCTCTGCTTCCACGCTTACCTGTCCTGGGCCTTTCTCCACCCAATAATCAGTTCAAACTTCAGAAATCTGGCAAATCTGACTCTGCCACACCCCTGTTAAGAGCCTCCCAGGGGCTTCTCTCGTCCTGGATAGAAGCAGGTGTCTTCACACAGTTTACCAGGTCTCTTGGTCTTCCTCTCTCTTCCACCTTCCCTGACATTCAGCCAGACGGAGCAACTTTGGGTTTCCTAAATGTGCCTTTCTCCTTTGCCTCTGTACTGCTGGGTGTACTCTTCCCTGGCCCTCCTCTCCCCCAGATAATTCTGACTCATCCTCTGAAGGATGGTCACTTCTAGAAGCCTTCTCCTCCTCTTCCTCCCTCCTCCCCCTGTCCCCACCCCTTGCACTACCTCAGCCTCCCTGTCTGTCCCCCTAACTAGATGAAAGATTCCTCGGGACAGGGACTTTATCTTACCTATCGCTTTACACAGTGCCTGGCACTGGGGAGAGATGGAAACTGGGAAAAATAAGCTTGATGACATGGGGTGAGAGCCTTGGGGAAAGAAAAGAAGGAAAAATAGAAAATGGAAGCCAACCAAAAGATAGGAAAGGAGGCTTTTAGGTGAATGAGAAGTAATGATATTAAAACTACAAGCAGGACGACCAATCGGAAAGGGAAGAGAGGAGCTGCAGGTGATGAAGAGTAGGAATAACCAGGGGTGAGAGAGTGGAAAGAGGAAGGTCAGCGGGTAAGAGGGAAGAGGAGAGAGCCAATGGGGAGAGAAGAGGAGAGGAGAGAGAGCGCACCAGTGGGGAGAGAGGAAGAGAGGACTGGGCCAATGGGGAGAGAGGAGGAGAGAGCGGGGGGGGGGGGGGGGGGGAGAGAATGAGAATGAGAATGAGAGAGAGAGAGAGAGAGAGAGAGAGAAAGAGAGAGAAAGAGAGAGAGAGAGAGAGAGAGAGGAGGGGAAGAGAGTGAGCCAAAGAAGGAGGGGAGGAGTAAGCCGATGGGGGGCGGAAAGTGTGAGCCAATGGGGAGGAGGAGGAGGAGAGAGAGAGAGAGAGAGAGAGAGAGAGAGAGAGAGAGAGAACCAATGAGGAGAGAGGGAAAGCGAGCGAGCCAATGGGGAGAGAGGAGGAGGACGCCTCCACTGAGGGACACAGGGAAGCACCCAGAAGTGTGAACAGTCTATACCCTCGGGGCTTGAGGGCTTGAAAAGAGCCCTGAGAAGCCAGGAGGTGGGCGGAGAGCCCGGGCCCTGAGTCCCTGCTGTCCTGGCGCAGGTGTCCCCGCTCTTCGGCACCATCTACGACGCGGTCCTCCTGCTGGCGGGGGGCGTCGCACGGGCACGGGCGGCCGCAGGGAGCGGCTGGGTGTCGGGAGCCGCGGTAGCCCACCACATCCCGGATGCCCAGGTCCCCGGCTTCTGTGGGGCCCTGGGAGGAGCCCAGGAGCCACCGTTTGTGCTGCTGGACACGGACGCGGTGGGGGACCGGCTCTTCGCTACATACATGCTGGACCCCACCCGGGGCTCCCTCCTCTCAGCTGGGACCCCCGTGCATTTCCCTAAAGGGGGAGGAACACCTGGGTCCGACCCCTCATGCTGGTTCGAGCCAGGTGTCATCTGCAACGGAGGTGAGGACGAGCACCCCAGCGCCACCCCCGCCCCATTTTCCAACGCCTGCCCTGGGACAGTCACAGTCAACTTAGACCCTCCACAAAGTGGTGAAAGACAGTCAACTCTCATCCTGTAACTCCTTCCAGAGCCTTCTCACACCCCTGACTTGTGCAGAACCTCTCCCTTGCCAACCCCCGCCCCCATGCCCTCTTGGACCTTTCTAGCATCTCCCCTTTGCAGAACCCATGGCCTTTCCCCAGACCTGGTCCTGGGCTCCCATCCACCATCCCTAGAGCATCCGCCATCTGACATGACTGCAACGTCCATAGAGAGGGTGCCTCCCTCAGGCCACCATCCTCAGTGTCCCTCCTCTCACTGCCTCTGCAGGAGTGGAGCCCAGCCTCGTCTTTCTCGGCTTCCTCCTGGTGGTTGGGATGGGGCTGACTGGGGCGTTCCTGGCCCATTATTTGAGGTGAGTATGGGAGTGAGGTAAGTAGGAGGTGAGCTTAGCTCCCCACCTTCCAGAATTGCATCTGTGCAGCAAAGTCAGCAGGCTGGACCCACTCAAGAGTAGAAAAAGGGAGGATTGGGGTCTGCCCCAAAAGGCAGGCAGACCAGAGGATGTTTGGTTTGGGGACAGCTGGTCTCCCCTGAACCAACATGATCCTCTGCCGGCTTCCTCGCTAATGCCCTTTCCCTCTACCAGGCATCGGCTACTTCACATCCAAATGGTCTCTGGCCCCAACAAGATCATCCTGACTCTGGACGATGTCACCTTTCTCCACCCGCATGGGGGCAGCACCCGAAAGGTGGGACAGCAGGGAGCCAGGTCTCCAAGTGTTCCCTGTATATCTGCTCCCCTGCCTGGGCCAGCCCTCACCCCAGCCCCCACCTGGGAAGGCCTGCTTCCTGCCCTGGTTCCATCTCAGGTCTGAGCTCTGGGAGTGTGCAGTGAGAGTAAGAGCCCCTGTCCCCACTGCTTTCCTGGGGCAGTTTCTAACTTTTCCAAAAAAAAGCTACTTGTTAGCTTTGTAAACTGTAAAGTGCAGTGCTATGAGGAGGTAATGTCATTATCACTTTCCTAAATTGAGATTTCTTCCCCTTCCCCTCTGTAACCATCAGAACTCAGGCTGACCTCAACCTATGACTTGACCCCACAGTATACTTTGACTCTTTCCACTGATTGGCCTCTACCCTCCAGGTGGTCCAGGGAAGTCGCTCAAGTCTGGCCGCCCACAGCACATCAGACATTCGCAGCGTCCCCAGCCAGCCCTTGGATAACTCCAACATTGGCCTCTTTGAAGTGAGTCTTACTCCTAGCCAGGCCCAGCTCTATTCCTGGACTTGTGTCATATCCTGCAGGCTCCAGGAAATGGTGATAGGAGTCCAGAATGGGCTTTAGGGAGAGGTCACGGGTTCCCCAATGGGGAGCATCTGAGATTCCTTCCTGCCCCAAAATTATGCCTTAGCCTTTATCCAGATGAGAGCTCCTCAAAGGCCAATCACAGTGGCTCAGAAGCTGGAGGCGTGACTGGTGGGGGTGTGTGTACTGGGACCATGCAGCCTGGTGTGGCCACTGAAGCCATCCCCTGCCCTGTTGGGATCCCCTATCCCTGTCCCCTCAGTCATCCAAGATTTCAGGTTACCAGAGGACACGGGCCTCCCTGGAAAGTTTGGGGCAGAGCAGCGTCTGGGATGTGGCCTCATGGTCACAAAGAGGACATTTCTAGGGCAAGTTTCCAGATGGGGCTATCCCCCACTCAAGAGCCCCATCCAGCATTTCCACCCAGTTCAGCTCAGATTCAGGAACAGCAAGCCTTAGAGGGGAGAAAGAAAGTCATAAAAGGGCATTAGTATCTCAACTATGGGTCAGCTGATCTGAATGTGGTGGGATGTGGGCAAAATTGTGAACAGAGTCAGAGGGAGCTCAGCTAATCAAGAGTTGGTGGACATTTAGAGCTCCCAAGTGTCAGAGAATGCAGAGGCTCCCGCCCTGTCACCTAGAGGCCACTGCCGGCTGCTTCTCAGGGGAGCACTATTGTCATTTGGGGCAAGCTGTTACTCCTCCATAAGGGACTACCCTGTGCCTTCAGGAATGGATAGCAACTCTTGTCCTGTCCGCTAAACACAGTTCCCGATTAAGAATGTCTCATATTTATTTCCAAATGCTCTTTAGGGAGTCAATACCTAACCACCAGGATTCCCCTCTAGTCCAAATCCCTCACTGGCAGACGAGGCCGGCTACATAGGTCGCAAAGCCTAAGGCAGAATTAAAGTGAAGGGTTCCTTGTTCATCCAGGGTGACAATGCAGATGGGTGAACCAAACACAGGCGCTTCTGAGCATGGGGCCCAGTGGGACTGCTGGGGCTGTGTCCCCGTGAACCAGCCCACCAGCCCGACTGACAGCTAAAGATAGGGAGGCTCAGAGCTTGGAGGGAAGCTGCCTATACTTTGCAGTTTGTAATAAAAAGCCCAGACTCCTGACTCCCAGCACAGTGCTCTCTCGTGGCAACAGATGGTGCTGAGAGCTGTGATTTCAGTGACATTTGTGGTAGCAATGGCTTGCTTAATAAGGCTGTTGGTGAGTGCATCTGGGGTGGTGAGGACACCCCTTTAAGGGTGGACTCCCTCCCTCCTGGCTAGCTGTGAAGTGGGCCGGAAGACCTCAGACCCCTTGCCCCTGATGCTCTGTGTCACAGGAAAGATATGTTCTGGGGCAGTGGGCAAGTGCAAATGTAGGGGCCCTAGGGCTCCTTGCCTCGTGGGGTTTTAAGAAACTGAGTTTACTGCTCCCATCTCTACTCCAGGGAGACTGGGTTTGGCTAAAGAAATTCCCCGGGGACCAGCACATAGCCATCCACCCAGCAACCAAGACAGCCTTCTCCAAGGTGAGGGTGGGCCTGGGCTGGGGTGTGGTGTGGGCATCATTTCCTAACCTCCCTGCCCTCTCTTTGCCCTACCCTACAGAGGTAGACCCCAATGTGGGAGAGACCAAGAGGTCTCAGTGGAGGTGTCCCCTCCTCTCAAAAGCAGATTTCCCATTCTGCTCTCTCATATGCTAGCTCTTTCCTGTGGTGTGCTTGTCATGATATGTTCAATGTGTGCTTGCATGTTTTTTTTTTAAGATCTTATTTATTTATTCATGAGAGACACAGAGAGAGAAAGAGAGGCAGAGACACAGGCAGAGGGAGAAGCAGGCTCTATGCAGGGAGCCTGACGTGGGACTCGATCCCAGGTCTCCAGGATCAGGCCCGGGGCGGCACTAAACCGCTGAGCCACCAGAGCTGCCCTTGCATGTTTTTTTTTTTTTTAAAGATTAACTTATTTATTTAGAGAAAGACAACATGAGCAGGGGAGAGGCAGAGGGAGAGGGAGAGAATCTCAAGCAGACTCTGTACTGATTGTGGAGCCCCACACGGGGCTCAGTCCCACGACCCTGAGATCATGACTGGAGCTGAAATCAAGAGTTGGACGTTTAACTAGCTGAGCCACCCAGATGTTCTTCTAGTTCATTTCTTATCTGCCTCCCTCACTGGACTGTGAACTAAGTGAGGGTTCCCCCTGCCCCATCATTGCATTTTTGGCACGCAGCACAGTATATCTGGAACAGAGACTAGAGAGACCTGATGAATGTTTGTTGAGTAAGACAATAAGGGCTTTCCAGTTTCGTTGAGCCACTTGTGCAGAATGGCCTAGTTAATGCAAGCTGAGTGAGGTGGAAAGCTGGCAAGCAGGCTGTAGACAGTATTCTAGTCCTTTCTCCCTAATGCCCCCCTTATATCATGCAGCCTCGACCTGGCCTCCTTCCCTGATGTCTCCACAGAAGTTTTTGGCCACGACTGCAGAATGACTTAGGGTCAACAAGCTAAATTACCATTTAATGGCAGGCATCTCAGATGAAAGGTCTTGTCTTACTGGACCAAAGGAAAACCAGAAAGGACAGCCATCACCCATGAACCCCTGTTTTCCTAGCATGCCCAGATTGTGAGGGCCCCTGTCCTTCTCTGGGGCCACAGCTTGACTGCTCAGTCCCTGCCTCCCTAACCTGGGTAGGTGGGGAGTCTCAGACATACTTGACACAGTGACAGGACCAGGCAAAACAGCCCTGAGCTGTCACCAGCACAGCCATTTCTGGTGTTCTTTGGGTTTTTTGTGCGTATGTGTATTTTTTTCTAAGATTTTATTTATTTATTCATGAGAGACAGAGACATAGGCAGAAGGAGAAGCAGACTCCCTGTGGGGAGCCTGATGTGGGACCCTAGGATCGTGAGCCAAAGGCAGATGTTCAACCACTGAGTCACCCAGATGCCCCTCTGGTGTTCTCTGAAAGCGGTGGTGCGGCCTCTTCCTGGTTCTCTCTTCAAGGAGGGGAGGGTCGTGGTGCCAGGGGCTTCTGCCTGCGGTGTTTATCCCTAAAGCCAGGCAGTTCAAAGTCTTACAGCTAATCCATCAGAACCTGCCTGGGTCCTGGCTCCCCATGCAAGGTTGTCTTTTCAGCCCTAACTTGAAACTAAACCATACTCAGCACCCGAACAGCCGGCCTTTGACCGACTGGTGCCTTCTGCAGAGAGAGGCCATCTGTGGAAGAAATCCCCACGGATCTTTCCATTGGTCATTCTTCTGCCATCTTCCCAGCTGGGACACCCAGAAACAGGCCTGCATAACAGGTCTCCTTCCCACGTTGCTTCCAGGGCAGAAAAGGCCTGTTCACTTTCTCCCTCCCAGCTCCGGGAGCTCCGGCATGAGAACGTGGTGCTCTACCTGGGGCTCTTCCTCGGCAGCAGGGGAGCTGGTGGCTCGGCCGCGGGGGAAGGCGTGCTGGCCGTGGTCTCAGAGCACTGTGCCCGGGGCTCCCTCCACGACCTCCTCGCCCAAAGGGACATTAAGCTGGACTGGATGTTCAAGTCCTCCCTCCTGCTGGACCTCATCAAGGTGCGGGGTAAGGGGGGTGCGGGGGTGGCGGGGAGGACAGGGCCGGGAACCACGGGGCTGAGGCTGCCTCTTCTCCCACTGCCCCAGGGAATGAGGTATCTGCACCATCGAGGCGTGGCCCACGGGCGCCTGAAGTCGCGGAACTGCGTGGTGGACGGGAGGTTCGTGCTTAAGGTCACGGACCACGGCCACGCGCGACTTATGGAAGCTCAGAGGGTGTTACTGGAGCCTCCCAGCGCCGAGGGTAAGATTCCCGGGCTGCCTCCCGCGGGGACGCGAAGCCCCTGGGATTCCCGTCATTTCAAGCCCCCCCGCCCCCATTCCACAGCCCCGCCACGGAAAAGGTCTTGTGACTTTGGGGAGAGGAAGGGTGGGCTCTGTGACGGAGGGGGGGGGGGCAGGGCTTGTGCCGGAGGGGCTGGGTCTAAAGGGTGGGGCCTGTTTGTGAGCCCCCCTGCCCCACCCACCTTCTCTGAGACCCGTGTTGGTTTTCCCATGGTCCCTCCTGGGGGTAGCTGCAGGCAGCGGGGCCAGACTTAGGCTGGGAGTTGGTGAGTGGGTGCGAGCCTGGCCTTTCCGGTTAGGATGGGGGTCTGTCCCCAGCGCCCCCCTCCCCCGAGTTCCTCCTCATGCCCACGCCCCTTCCCCCCTTCCCCCCCCTGCCCCCAGACCAGCTATGGACAGCCCCGGAGCTGCTTCGGGACCCGGTCCTGGAGCGCCGGGGAACGCTGCCCGGCGACGTCTTCAGCCTGGGCATCATCATGCAGGAGGTCGTGTGTCGCAGCGCCCCCTATGCCATGCTGGAGCTCACTCCCGAGGGTACGCCGCCACCACCCCCCCACCCCCGCCCGGGCCTGGCGGTGCGCACAGAAAGTCAGCCTGCTGTTAGAGCCTGGCCGGACCCAGCCTCTTTCCCAGAAGCCCAGAGCTGAGCCTGGGCCACTCCATGTGGGTCTGAGGGGTCAGAACAGTGGAGAGCCCAGCATAGGGATGGTCACAGGTGGCTCTAAGGTGCCCAGACTTCACTGGTGGACTCTGTCCTCATCCAGGATCCAACCTGCTCCTTCAAATCCCCAGCAGGGCAGCAGTGTTGTGGGAAGGGGGTGAAGAGCATTCCGGTCTGGTTCAAATCCATATTACTTAGCATCTATGAGAGTCAGCAAGCTCCTTGATCACCCTCACCCTCCCTCTTCTATGTGCAATGGATGTTAGGCTCCCCCTGTCATCTCTTAACTGCCCCCTACCCCCCGGGATTCAGGGTCCTCTTGTGGCTCCAGCAACCCCTCCCTCACTGCACTCCTCCACCCACTGGAGCTCTGATTTAAAGAACCCCAGTAGAGTCCCCCCATCTTGGGCTTCAGCCATCAGGCCAGAGTCAGGTGGCTCCTCTCGGTCCCCTTATGCTTCCAGAAGTGGTAGAGAGGGTGCGGAGCCCCCCTCCACTGTGCCGGCCCTCCGTGTCCATGGACCAGGCACCTGTGGAGTGCATTCAGCTGATGAAGCAGTGTTGGGCAGAGCACCCTGATCTTCGGCCCTCCTTGGGCCACATCTTCGACCAGGTCAGGGGCTGGGACTGGGCAGGGACTGGGCTGGCCACCTGTCAGCCACCTGGGGAAGCTTCAGGAAAGCAGGATATCAGGATCTCTGCTCTCGAAGGGGTAGTCTGAAGACTGGGATTAGGTGGGGGCAGAGCTAGAACAGGGGCTGTGGAGGCCTTTGGAGTGGAGACTGAGTTCTGGGTGGGAGAAATTTTAATTCAATTCAAATGACATTTGAATTGCTTAGCACACTGTGGCAGAAAGACCTTTGGCCTGGGAGTCCAAAGGCTGGGCTGGTTCCAGCGCCCTGTCAATGACTAGCTGAGAGCAGCTGACCTCTGGGAACCCTCATTTCCCATATGCCTGCTGATAATGTGTGAAAACATTATCCCCAGAGTAGGGGGCAGGTGATGAGTCAAAAGTGATGGGGAAGGGGAGGTTCAGGCCTAATACAGCCGCTCTCAAGGGCAGCCCAAGTCCCACCAGCTTCCTCCTCCAACTAGTTTAAAAGCATCAACAAGGGCCGGAAAACCAACATCATTGACTCGATGCTGAGGATGCTGGAGCAGTACTCCAGTAACCTGGAGGACCTGATCCGGGAGCGTACGGAGGAGCTGGAGCTGGAAAAGCAGAAGACTGACAGGCTACTCACGCAGATGCTGCCTCCGTGTGTGCCCGTGGGGAGGGGGGCAGGGGTAGAGGGGAGGGCAGCTGGAATGCAGCTGGTCTGGGGTAACCCCGCCTCCCGCCATCCCTAGTTCTGTGGCCGAGGCCCTGAAGATGGGGACGCCGGTGGAGCCCGAGTATTTTGAGGAGGTGACACTGTACTTCAGTGACATTGTGGGCTTCACCACCATCTCAGCCATGAGTGAGCCCATCGAGGTGGTGGATCTGCTCAACGATCTCTACACACTCTTCGACGCCATCATCGGCTCCCACGACGTCTACAAGGTGGGCTGTGCAGGGGGCAAAGCCTCCTTTGGCTTCCCCAGTACCCAGCACACCTGCCCCAGTCTTTGGCCCCCCTCCTTCATTTGCCCCAGACCCCAGTCCAGCCCTCCGGGATCGGAAGCCTCCCCAGGATCTCTGCACTAACCCCTGACCAGGGACAATCGCTTGGGGGGAGAGGGGTGCTCAGTACCGAATCCACACTACTCCTTCCCACAGGTGGAGACAATCGGGGACGCCTACATGGTGGCCTCGGGGCTGCCGCAGCGGAACGGTCAGCGACACGCCGCGGAGATCGCCAACATGGCCCTGGACATCCTCAGCGCCGTGGGCTCCTTCCGAATGCGTCACATGCCCGAAGTACCCGTGCGCATCCGCATTGGCCTGCACTCGGGTACCTAGAGGACTCTGTGCCCATCTCCCCCACTGGAGCCCCGCTCCACGTGTCTCAGACAGGACGTAAACCCCCTGGGGGGGGCAGAGAGGGCTTGTCTTGAAGCCACCCTCACATCCAGGGCACCCCATTGTGATTGAGAGTGTGGCCTTGGGGAGCTGGTGGAGAACATGGGGTGCCAGCGACCCCCGAGGTGCTGGGTGCCACCTGGCAGCCTGCACGGCCACCAACCCTGCGTGTCTTCGCAGGCCCATGCGTGGCCGGCGTGGTGGGCCTCACCATGCCACGGTACTGCCTATTTGGGGACACGGTCAACACCGCCTCGCGCATGGAGTCCACGGGGCTGCGTGAGTGGAGTGGGGCTGGGGGGGCTGGGGGGGATTCACAGAGCAAGGGGGGTATGGCCCTGGGGACGGGGGACACAGGAGGGGAGTCTCGGAAATCCTCCTCCCTTGTCGTTCCAGCTTACCGAATCCACGTGAACATGAGCACCGTGCGGATTCTGCGCGCTCTGGACGAGGGCTTCCAGACAGAGGTGCGCGGCCGCACGGAGCTGAAGGTGAGGCTATAGGCGCGGGGGACGACCGCGAAGGACCTCGGGGTCCCTGGAGATCCGCCCGCCCGCACCCTGGCAGCCTAAGTGCTCCCCTCCCCGTGTTCCCCTAGGGCAAGGGCGCCGAAGACACGTACTGGCTGGTGGGCAGACGCGGCTTCAACAAACCCATCCCCAAACCGCCCGACCTGCAACCGGGGTGAGGTGCCAGCCTTCTCCTGGGCTCCAGCTGGGTGCCTGACCCTGCCCTCCCCCGCCCCTGCCCCGCCCCTCTCCTCCTCTCTCCCTCCCCACTCTCCATCTCTGAAGCCACCGCCCTCTCTCCCGCAGCGCCAGCAACCACGGCATCAGTCTGCAGGAGATCCCTCTCGATCGGCGCCAGAAGCTGGAGAAGGCAAGGCCGGGCCAGTTCTCTGGAAAGTGAGGCCCGGCTGGAGCAGGTGCTGCCCCTCTGCTCACAAGGCCCGCTGCCTGTCCCCCCTCGAACTCCGGAGTTGGGGGAATGGGCTCCCCATCAATGGGAGATGCTTTCTGGGGAACAGGCACTTCTTCCCCAGCCTTAGGGCCTAGCCCTACCTGCTGAACTTCCCACCCAAGTCGGATGTTCCTATCCCTGTCTGAGGAGTGAGCCTAGGCTCGTTCCTAAACCCAGGGATTTTCCTAAACCCAGTGAGGTACCAGCTGCAGGGATTCTGGCTCAGTAGGTCCGGAGTGGTCCAGGAATCTAGACTTGAGAACCCCTGTAAACGTGACCCAAGACCTCTCCTCTGGCCACCCCTACCCTGTGTTAACCAGGCCTCCTTGCCAGGCTGCACAGACTGCAAGAGACACAAGAGATAAGAACTCTAGGGAGCACCATTCATCAGAGGACAAGATGAATGCTGTTTCTAGAGGTCTCTACCTTCCTAGAAGAAACTTTGATCCATGACCCTCTCCTTCCTAGGGGAACCCCCATGACCCCTTTCCACGATTTCCCTCTGAGACACTCCTCTCTCTCTCAGGGTACTGGAAGGTCCTCTTCCTGAAAGTTGCTGCTATAGGTGACCAAAAGTCTGGCTGACACCAGTGGCTTCTAGCCAGCTCTGCCTCAAAGGATTCCGGGCCTTTACAGGTGCTGGCTGCAAATCTGCTGTGTGACCTTGGGAAAAGTCTTGTGCACTCTCTGTGCTTGGGTTCCCCCTCCAGGGCGAACTGAGGAGTGGCCTGTGTGGTTTCCATGCTCCCCTGCTCTGACAGCTGCTTCAGCAGAGTTGGCCTGGGGATATGGGGCACTGGGCTCGGGGCCTCCAGCCCCAGAGTCTCTGAACCCATCAGGAGAGGTTGGGGTGGGGATTTTGCACTGTCCAGCGCCTCCCAAGACCCCAGGGATGGGGTGTCTGGGTTTGGCCCCAACCCCAGAGGCAGTGGAGGAGACCCTTCCAACGCAGGGCTGTCACATGGCCTAAGGATGAGCCTCTGTCTAGCTTCCAGCGTCATCCGTCCCCGCCTGTCAGACACTGCTCCCATCGTGACTTGCTCAAGTGCAGAGAAAAGCTGGCTTCAAGGCTTGGGGGAAAGGAAGGCAAATTGGCTGCTCCAAAACTCTGCTAACCAGAACATTCCCTGCTTAACTGGGTATCGCTGAGCATCCCCTCTACTTAGATCTTTCCAGCATGCATTAACAACCCCCGCCTGCTCCCACCCTACCCGTCCAGCTGAAGTTTCTTTTGTGGAACTGATGTTCCAGAGCCTGAGCCTTGGCACGGCTGACTCGGGGTGCCCTTCCCCATGGCTTCAGACCCTGGAAAGTTAGCCGCAACCAACCAGAGGGCTGCTTGAGGTAGTGAGCGTCCAGTCCCTGGAGGTCTCCAAGCAGAACCGGCAACATCGTTGGCCAGGGATGGAGCAGTGTGAGACAGGTTCTAGGTGTAAAGATGAACCTGATCCTTGGCAGGTGGAGCATGGTTGGGAGCCAGTAGCAGCGACCTCACCTGGGAGCTTGTTAGATATGCAGAGTCTCAGGCCCTGACCTGACTTGAATCAGAATCTGCATTTTAACGAGTCCCCTCCAAGCGCTCACCTGCGCTCGAACATTTGTGAAACGTGTCACTAAGTGATCCTGAGAATTTCTAAGATTTCATTAAAAACCAGGCTAGACTCTAGCCCTGAGACTCCTTTTACTTGGTCTCTGGGGCATTTTTTTGTTTCTTGTTTTGAGCTAATATTTAGAAGTGTTAGGGCTTCACTCTTCTGTTCTCATGGTCCCTGCCCCTCCCCGAGGCTCCAGGACCCCAAGATTTTCTTTCTTTCTTTCTTTTCTTAAAGACTGTATTTATTTATTCATGAGAAACCCAGAGAGTGGCAGAGACAGGCAGAGGGAGAAGCAGGCTCCCTGCGGGGGAGCCCGATGCGGGACTGATCCCAGGACCCTGGGGTCATGCCCTGGGCCAAAGGCCCTGAGCTCAACCACTGAGCTCCCCAGGTGCCCCAGGCCCCAAGATTTTCTAAACGTCAGTCCTTCTGTCTGGTGCCTGTGGGCATCTTAGCTCAGGACTCCCCAGCGGCATAGCTGCGGTCGGTCGGGCTCCTGGTGATGCTCCTGCCTGGCTGTGAGATCCTCCAGCTCCGTAGCACCTCCCCCCTTCCTCCCTAAAGGGGGGAGGTGTAGAAGAACTCTAAAACCCCAGCACTTGTAGGTTCTGGTTACTTGAGGTGGTGCTGCTAGAGTGAGTAATTTAGCTCAATTCAAAAAACATTTTTAACCAAGTCTGGAGATGATGAGGTCAAGGCTTTTTAAAAAAAACCCTGATGCACATGCAGGTGCGCATGCGTGTTTGTTTGTTTTTTAATTATGTACGTTCTTAAATATCTCCCTTCAGATTTTCTCTGTACTTTGGTCCCAGGGATGGGGGACAGACTGCCTCCCTGGCGCTGGACCTGACAATGTGGCTGTAGCCCTCGCTCCCCTGTCTCTTCCCCGGCCCCCCTGCCGCCCCCCATCAGCCCTCCCAGTATCCCCCACTCCCACCCTTTCTGTCTCCTTCCATCCCACCTGTGAGGATGGCCTGTGATTCAGGGAACCTCAGGGCAGAGTTGACCCGGGGATTACCGGATTATGTGTGAGAGGACTAGTGTGGGCAGGCTGGGGCAGGACAGTTGTCAGAGGAGGAGGAGCTGGGGCCCAAACCTGGTTGGGGCCAGGTTAACATGGAGGCAAGGCAGCAGGGCTGAGCAGGTCCCTTCCTACCTTCAACCCTGCCTTGTCCGGAGACCTCAGTCTCAGCTGAGCAGAGATTGCTCCCTTCCCTGCCCCGTCTCCCCTCTCTAGGCCCATACTTCCTCCCTGAGGTCCCTGAAGCTCTCTGCCATTGCCCTGGAACCTTCCTTCCTGGGCCCAGTCAGGGTCCTAGACCCTGCTACCCGCTCCCCTCCAGTCCTCTTCACCTGCTAGCCCCGGGCACCCCCCAGCCCCTAGAGCACCTGCTTGGTCATCAGGCACTCCCTACCTTCAGATGTGTTTACACTACCTCTGCCGGCTGTCCACCCCCAGGACCCACATTGGGGGCTGTCCCCGCCTGTGTGGCGGCTCTGTAGCCAGGACCAGTGATGGCCAAAGCAGGGCCCTCCTGCAGCTGCTGCTTTGATCCTGTAGCTGGGACTCCCCGTCATGTCCCGGGGCTCACTTGGCATCTTTTTTCTGCTGCTCCTCGGGGTCTGGGCCCTGCTCCCCATTCTCACCTGCAGTGGACCCCGGGGACCCCCCTCTGGGGGATCCGTTTCGCTGCCTTGTGGGGCTGTTGTTCACTGGGATCTTCTGGACTGTGTGCTGTGGACGCCAAGCCATGTGCCATGGTGTTGGGTCCTGGGAGGGTGGGGGCTGAAATAAAGGTGTACTTTCTTCCATTTCATCATGGGCGATCCTTTCAGCCCGGGGTGTCCAAACACCCCCTTACCTGCAGCGTTCAAACCTGGCATTTCCTAGCAGGGCTTCAGATAGGGGTAAGCCTTCAAGCTGGCAGAGGCAAGGGGAAGTGAGCTGAGGCCATCAGCCCCCCATCCCAGCAACTACTCTGCTCAGAGGGTCTGCTCTGAGGCTAAGCAGGGAAGCCTCAGGGCTGCAAATGTAGAAGCTAAGGACCGTGATCTCTGCACAGGACTTCACGACCCACATTCCACCTCTCACCCCTCAAGAGCCTGCCACTGGGGCATCAGAGCAGAAGAGACAATCCCAAAGCCACCAGGGAGTGACTGGCCCATTGGTCATCCATCGTCTCTGAGCTCCACTGTCTCTGCCCGTTTCTGACATGAAGACTCATGATGGGCATCACTTGCGGTGCCTTTGTGGCTTCCCCATGCCCCATCGCCAGTCCCCCTGGAACTGACCCCAGGCCTCCCCCTCCAATCATTGCATCCCTCTGCTTCCCTCTGCCAGCAGAATTGCTTCAAGGACAGGTAGATGATGTGGGTGGAGCAAGGAGGCTTGGTGCTCAGATGCTGCTGGAAGCTGGGTGAAGAAGTTGCCTGTTTTCTCTGGGGTTCCCAACAGGGCAGGCTGCAGAGACACAGGGCATCACTATCAGAGGGGCAGAGACCAGTCTCCCTGCCCCTGCTGGAGTCCCTGCACCCCGAGGGGCCTAAAGCCAGATGGGCCGTTTGGGCACCACGGGCTAGCCGTGGGCTAAAACCAGACCGGATTGGGTTTTGTTCTTGGCAGTCAAAAGTGTCCTGACGAACTCCTCAGAGGGCTTATGATGCAGTTGGGGTTGGACTGGTTTAACAGGAATGAAAAGCAGAAACGGCTGGCTTGGGAGGGAGGCAGGGAACGCAGGCCGAGCTGCTGGGAAGACACAGCCTCCAGGCCCTGACTCCACCAAGTGTCAGCCAGCGCCTCTCCCTGCCCTATGACTGGGCCAGAAAATTCCAGTTACGAGGACCTAACTCAGGGAAAGGGTAGGACCTGGGGGGAGCTGGACTCCTGTGCTGCCCCAGCGGCCAGACTCAGGTCCGACCTCAGAGACAAGGCCCGTGAGACTGGTGCTGAGCTCTGACTGGTGCTGAGTCTTACCTTGGCTCTGCGGCTGCAGACACCAGCTGGGGGTACCATGCCCACCCCACATGCCCCTGCAGAGGTGAGCTCAACACAAAGCTCATAACCGTGCTGGCTGTGGACACCCTTGGGAATTAGGTGACTAGGCTTTGACAGGCAGGTTTCGGTGGGGCAGGTGGCTCCCCGACTCCCTGAGTACAGAAGGAAGTAGAGAAATTGAGAGGGAGTACAATTGTGACATCTGGGATCCCTTGGTTTCCCCAGGGCAGGGCTTATTTCTCAGTCTGGAGACTCACCCTTCCAAACTAAAGACATTATGTCACCTCCACCAGGGACATCTCATCTCAGCACCCTTCCCTGAGCCTATGTCTTTGGCCCCGGACTCAGAAAAGGGGGTGATGTCCCTTGTAATGTAAGCGTTGTGCTCACACGGATGTTGATCCGGCCATTCAAAAACCATATCCCTGTGTTCTGTCTTTAATCCTCAGATGACCCATTTTACACACTTGAAAAGTAAGACTGTCAGCTGTGAAATGACTTGTCCAGGGCCACACACCTGACAAATCTTGAGATCAGCAAACCCGGGAGTTTAGACTCTGGCCCTTGAGCTGCCTGTCAAAGGTGCCGCAGAGATGTTTATCTTACAGGCAATCCTGCCTCGTGCCCTCTTGACTATTTTCTGCAAGAGCGCATTTTAAACTCTGAAATTGTTGTCTCTGTAAGAGGATTATTAAAGAGTTTTGACTTGGCGGGATATGGACACATTTCACGTTTCTCCAATCGGTACCCCCAAAAGGCTGGTCCAGTTGAGAACTCCACTCTCCTCCTTGCTTCAAACATCTCGGCTCCTCACCATGCCCATTGAGGGACCTGAGGGTGTGGGTAGGCTTGGGAGTACATGCCTGATCCTTCCCTGCTCTCCCAACTCTGGCTCCTTGGTCAGGAGGGAAGGGTCAGGGAGGTACACTTTGATCCTAGGACCCCTGCTCCCTCACTCTGCGAGTGGATACTACAGAGGAAGTCTCCTGTTGGGTAAACTTCCCTGGTCTCACCTTGGCTCTGCGGCTGCAGACACCAGCTGAGGGTACCGTGCCCACCCCACATGCCCCTGCAAAGGTGAGCTCAACACGAAGCCAAGAAAATGGAAACTTCATGGGCTCCCTCACCTGCATAAGCCCCTTCCAAGCACCTCCCCACCACCACCCAATTTTGTATTCTTTTTCCTAAAGAGGGCCTTCAAATTTGGATCAGCTTGAGGTCTCCACACCATTTGGATCTGTCCTGAATGTGGTCTCTTGGGGGTTGGGGACCACTTCCAGGCTTGGCTTCCCCTAAGCCTTCTTCACCCCCGAAGACCCCTCGGAAGGCAGCAGCCATGTTTTCCTTTAGTCCAACAGTGGTGGGCACCCCCACGATCTTGTCTTCACACAGTCTCCTTTCTGTTCTGCAGCCCCGCCTCCCCCAGCCAGCAGCGAGATGCCTACCTACCACTCCTGAAGGCCCCTCCAGTCTCCAAAAATGATTCTTCCCAAGAGCTGCCACCCTGGTGGTTGTTGGGAGGAAGGGCAACCCTCAGCCCAGATGCCATGTCCCACCAACTCCTCCCCACCCCCACCTCACCCCCCACCCCTGCCCCTGCTCCTGGCCTGGGAAGCAGGAGGGTTGAGGGAACCAGTTGTTCAGACTCTCAGATAGCCCTTGGGATGGGGATGCAGGGGAGGGGAGGCGAGCCAACAGTTGACCTCTCTACTTAGTACTTCATGGTTTCAATTGTGGACACTAGTTCCATGGCCACAGGAAAAGCTCGCTGGACATCCTCTTACGGCCAAATGAATATGTACTTCATGAATAGGTTACACCAGCAGCTACAGGGCTTATTGCCAAACACCACTTCCTAGAGCCAGACAAAATTAACTTCTGTTACACACCACAAAATTCTCATGATTTTTCCACTGTGACAAAATTGGTGGTCCACTTGATTGCATGGTGCTCCCGACTGCTAGGTCAACAAAGGGCTCTTCTTTCTACTCTCCCTCATCATCCAAACCACCAAGCCAAGCAAGGACATGTTCATAACCACCTAACTCAGGGCCCTGCCCCACCTCTAACCTCCAGTGGCACATGGCACATCAGCTCTGCAGTCTTGACTCCCTCCCCCTGCCACCCCCAATCCCAAGCCATGTGCCTCCTTCACAACTTCCTCTTAACTTCTATCAACATATTGTCTGAGTTGGGATCACATGGGTTCTCTTCCATGTCATTGGCAGGTCCTCTGCCTCAGCCCCTGAACTCTCCTCCTCTAGAGCTTAGCCTTAATGCCAGGGAGGGACACCCAGAACTCTTGCCCCAGTCTTCACCAGGGCAGCTGGTGGCTCCTGTTGAAACAAGGCCTGAGGAATTGTGTAGCGCCCATAAGGCCTGCAGCAAAAGGCTCCTGACCAACTTTGGCAGGCCCTGAAAGGGGAAGAAGAGAGACCCAGTACTGAGCACTTCACTCTCAACGTGGGCTCCAAGTCATGGAAGCCTCTCTGGCCCTTGGAGAAGAGACCCCAACCTGGTCTCCATCTTGGTGGCTTCCTGGGCCCTGGTGCCCAAATACAGGGCAATGGCCATATACACTGAAGTGGTTGGACTGGATGATCATGAAACATCTCAAGACCAGAGCCGGTCCCAGAAACTGGTCCTTCCAGGAGTCAAATGCCTTCCAGAAAAAGACCAGAGGACACACCCCATGATAACATGGCTGTATAAGACATTCAAGAACTGTAGAAAGGAAGAAGCATCGGTAGATGTGTTGGGTTTCTTTTTTTGAAGAAGGGAGAAATTTTTGCCTGTTAACAGCTGATGGGTGGCAGTGAGTGGAGAGGGACTCACTGGAGGGGGGTGACCAGGAGGAGCCAGGCTCCTGTGTCTGTCAGGGGAGATCCAAGCCTAGGAGGAGGGATTCCCTTGGGTGGGAGGAGAGGAAGCCCTTGTAAGAGAATTAGAGCAAGACAGGATGGGCCTTGGGAGCAGGTACATTTGGGGATTTCTGGAAATCTCCACTGGAGCTTTCTGTTTTCTCAATAAAATAGGGAATGAGGTCATCTTTGGGGCATGTGGAAAAGAAGGAAGGAGGACTGTTTTCTTGGGTGCTTCCTATATGCCAGAAACTCTACTAAGCACTTTACTCATGAAAGTATCAACTCCTTATGAGTATCAGGTTCAGTATCAACAACCTTATGAGGTAGATCCTATTTTAACTCCATTTTACAAACACTAACTTTAAGGCTCTGAAAGGTGATATGACCTGCCTAAACTCACCTGTTGTTGTTGTTGGTTTTTTATTATTTATTTATTTATTTATTTATTTATTTATTTATTTATTTGAGAGAGAATGAGAGAGCAGGGGCAGGGGCAGGGCAGAGGGAGAAAGAGACTCTCCAAAGAACAGGGAGCCCAAAGATGGGGCTTAATCCCAGGACCCTGAGATCATGACCTAAGCGCAAGGCAGACACTTAAATGACTGAGTCACCCAAGTTGCCTGGTTATTAAATAATAGGATTGTAATTTTCCCAAGGCCCTAAATTCTATGCTGTTAATAAGGAGGCAAACACCAATGGGACCAAGTCCCTGAGGAAATGGGGAAACTGATTTAGAGAGCAGTGGCCCAGCCTCTTCCTCCAAGTAGGAGTAAGAGAGATGCAGTCTGCAAGTGTTCACTGGGCAGAAGAATCTGCCAACGATTTTCTCTTCCTATGTCCTCAGTGTGGTCAGGGATGAAGATAGCCATGCATCTGCTAGCCGCAAGAGGATGGGAGCTAAG